ATGACCCATATTAAAAGCAGTTATCTCTCAAACTTTTTGAACTGAGGACCCCTTTAACATTCAAAAATTACTGAGGATTGGGGTACCTGGGTGGCTCAGTTGGTTAAGCATCTGCCTTCAGCTCAGGTCATGATCCCATGGTCTTGGGATCAAGCTCTGCATCAGGCTCCCTGCTTAGCAGGGAGCCTGCTTCTCCCTTTCCTTCTGCCTGCCACTCCCCCTGCTTGTTCTCTCTCTCTCTCTGTCAAATAAATAAATAAAATATTTAAAAAAAAATTACTGAGGATCCTACCAGGATTTTGTTATGCATACTATATCTATTGATATTTACCTTAATAGAAATTAAAACAAAATCTAAAAATATTTACTAATTAAAAAAAAACCTCATACATGTTAATGTGAATAACCCATGTTCATGAAAAAAACTATATTTTCCCAAACAGAAACAATTAATGAGAAGAGTGGCATTATGTATATTTTTTCAAATCTCTTTGATGTCTGGTTTAATGGAAAGTTAGCAAGATTCTCATATTTCCTTCTGCATTCAATCTATTGCAATATTTTGGTTTTGTTTAGGTGTGAAGATAATGTGGTCTCCCATAGTTCAAAGATAGGAATATTTTAATAGCCTTTCCAGATGATTGTGGATATTCCATAACTAAAATTTGACAAATGATAGTTTCTTAAAGGTTTGTTGCAATGTGAAATTTGAAACTATATTATAGTCTGTTGTGTTTCACATTCTATTATATTAAAATCCATTATTTTATATTGCACTTTGAATGGATTTTTTATTCATGCACAATGTGCAACATTAGCTTTGGCCATTTGTAAAATACGGACTCACTGAGTTATGTAGATCTTTCAAATGTTGGCACACTTCATTGTTTAATATTTAAAAAAAAATCAGTCACTAATATCATCACTGATCTCACCAGGCAAATCTTTAAATATCAAGAAACTCTTATGCTCAAGATAGTGGTGGATAAGTTTTTCAAAATTTCAATTTTCACCTGAAACTTCAAATTTCACTGTGGGCCAAAAATAGTCACTTTCTTTGAAGTTGCACACTCACATCGTTCTTTTTTTTTTTTTAAGAAAATACCTAGCAAATACTAAATTCTGAGAAACCAATGTGACTACCTATTGTTCTTTCAAATAGAAATGGTGTTTCATGAAAGAATCAGCTAGTGCTGCTGAATCAACCACAAAAGTGCTTTTTCTATCTGCTTCATTATGCAGCAAAAGTGACTTATGCATGAGTCACAGCTTGTTGCATGGAATATTAAAACGATGTGCACTCAAAGGTTGAGATTGAAAGAAACCAAGAACTTATCTGGCTTTATCAAATAAATTCTTAAGTAACTGTCCAGTAGTACAGTACAGCTACTGCCTTGATTCATGCGAGTTTAATTGACAACTGCTTTTGTGCCATCATTGCGAATGTCAACATATTGAAACAGGCAAATAACACCTTAGTATTATCATGAAAATAGTCTTAACCTTGCAGGTCCCCTGAAAGCATGTCGGGGAATGCCAGGAGTCTGCAAACCATACTTGCAGAGCTTCTGCACAAGAGAAAATATAAACTATGGAGACAGACCTCAAGATGACCCAGATGTTTGAATTAGCAGATAAGCAGCTATTATAAGTATGCTCAAAATTTTAAATGGAAATGTGCTCAGAAGAAATGATCAAATAAGAAATCTCACCAATCTCCAGCTCTGAAGTTTAAAAAATTCACTGGATGGGCTTAAGGGCAGAATGGGAGGAAGTGTGCAGCCCACACTTAAATAGTGGTTATGCTTTTCCTCCTTGAGGGCAGTGTCTATGTAAGGTATTTGGAATTCTACTTGGGAGATTTGTCTCTTCTCTCCCATTTATTTATTCAATCATTTATTTTATATCAGTGGGATTTGTGGATACTTATTTTCTGCTTTGGGTAATAATCTTATACTACTTTATTTTTGTTCAACTAGTTCCAGATCTGGCCAATGGGGAGGTGTTTCACTTGGTGTCTGAGTCTCTTTGACATACTCCCATGATTGTGGGTTTCTTTGTTTTGTTTTGTTTCTTAGCACTTTTTACTTTCTGATTCTACAACATCCTTCTGGCTCATCCCGTATATTTTCTATAATGTCCCAGTCCTAAAATCAGCTGTTTCTACAAGGAGCACTTTTACTGAAGAATGGTTTTAGAAACCAAGATCTGGGCACTAGGTGTGCTCATTGCTACTGGGCTACCATTGCTTCCGGATCATCTCAGCTGAGAGCAAGGATGTATATGTGTATGTACTAAACAATGTATATGCACATATCTAAATATTTCTATATGCAATCATCTGCATCCATACTAAACTAAACATGAGTTCATGTTTAGTTGATGTCATTGGATATCTCCAATGCTATTCTCTTATCACACCAGTAATCCCAGCACCTCCCCTGGCTGGCTTATCTGTATTCTCCCATCATCAGCCAGACATTCACTTAATTGTTCACTGACTTAAAAAAAATTCTAAATGTTGGTATCCATTACCGGCATTATTCCTATTGATGCCCCCCTTGTCCCAGATTTGGCCAGAGAGATCTCCTTCAATCCGTGTCTTTCTCACCTCTGCCAGTCTTTCAGCACCTCATTGTGTTCTGGCACAAGAGAGTCTGGACTTGCCTTGTGTTTTCTCTGTCTCAGATATAGAACCAGCCTTATCCTCTAGAAGCCCTCATCCACCTCCTCTTTTTATTGAAATATAATTCCACATACCATACAATTCATCCATTTAAAATATACAATTCAATGGTTTTTAGTATATTCTCAGAGGTATGCAAACATCAGTAGTCGATTTTAGGACCTCTCCATCACCCCAAATGAAGCTATATGTCCTCTACCCAACATCCTCCAATGTCCCCATCCCTCCCACCCCCCTAGACAATGGTGGCATGTATCTTCAGAGCCTAGAGTATGTGTGTCTGTATGTTTGTGTGTATGAGTGCATACACAATTGGCAACTATGTGGTTGGCAGGAGGAAGAGGCAATATCAGGGAAATCATGACCACAGAGGATCTAATGCAGAAGGTGAAGTTTCCAAATGAGAGGATAACAGAGGCGAGTGGTCAAGTTCCCCACAGCGGGGAGTGGGAGTGGCAATGGGTAGGGCAGAGCCCTGATGATCACCCGAGAAAAGCAGACAATACAAGGCAATAAGTAATAACTCAGATTCTAGAGTCGAGTGTTTGATTCTTTGCTCTGCAACGTATAGCTATATAACGCTCAGTGATTTAAAGCCTCAGTTTCTCTGTTTGTGCAACACTTATCTTTTGCCTTGTAGGTAGAGGGAGCTCAGAGGCACATGTGGTCGTGGTCAGTACTTATAGATGGAACCTACAAAATCTTGGCAGGGGGTGGAGTGCAGTATCCAGTCAAGAGGCCTCTTCAGAGGGTGTCCTGTCATACCTTCTCTGAGGGGACAATGTCCTTGGGTGAGGCTTACTGGAACCCTCCAAGACTCTGGACATGGGGTTTTCTGGGTTTGCCATTCAATTCCTCCCACTCTGAGGTGAGGGTTCAGGTTAGGTGGGAAAGGGAGAGTTTCCGGAGAGGAAATCCACTCTGGGGACTTAGAGAACACTTGAAAAAGACTATTTAAAAGCATTAAAAAGAGACCCAAAGAAATTGAAAGGGGCTGTTGTTTTGATTTTTATTTTGGGACTAAAGCTTGAGTAAAACTTTGCACCCTTCTTGAAATGTACTGTGACCATTTTTTGTGCCTTAAAGTAATAGATACTCAAAATGCCTATGTAATACTTAAAGAGCTCTAGATTAAAATTACACAAAGATCTCACATTGAAGACAATATATATATATTTTTGTATCACTTTCTTATTATCTATGAGCACACATCATTTTGAAATAGTTTCTCATAGTTTTATATTGTAGAACATGTAGATTACAAGCATCTGTGTGTCACTGTATTGGCAGATCCTCACAGATTTAACATGGTTGTGATTGTGTACACAATGTCTTATGCTTATCTTTTACACTGTCTCTTCAATTCTGAAGATATAATAGCAATTATTTCCAGTAGCTCATGTTGACAAACGTCTTCGGTTTGCAGTTCCAGTTGTTTCTTGTGAAACCTGTCACATTTAGGGCTGTGAATCTTTCTCTCAGGATTTATGAAACTTTTGGGTTAAAAGTAAAAAATCAAAAGAGTCTGCAGCAGATCGTGCTGACGATCTGTAATTACTACCATTGTATGTAGTAATAGAATCGTAGCTGGGTATATGTTGCCTGGCACAAGGACACATTTTTAGGCCCACTTTGCTGCCTGGTGTGGCCCAAGGGAAGCAGAAGGGACGGGTGCCCATTCTAGAGCTGGGTACTCCCCTTCTCTGTCCTGCTGGTGGTAGGGAGCAGCCACTTTAGACCCAGAGAGGGATGCCCCATGTTGAAGATAGCTAAGCCATCTTACAGGCCTGGACTGTTAACATTCTCTCTCGTCTAACCCATCACATTCATGGGTGTCTCAGATACAGGGGCCCAGCCTTTACGCTAATATACTACTTTCTCGTCGATTGTTTCAGGCAAGATAGTTTTAAGAATATACTCCCATTTTCAGAAAAGTCCAGGCAAGAGTTCTCCTTTATTCGTCACACAGCATTTGCTAAATTAGCTTTGTCTCTCCACTTGTGGTTGGTAAGGTGCCGGCAAGCGTTTTATTTTCCCCGGGACACCTATGTTCTCCTGCATGTTTTATGCAACAGAACCGTGTTCTCAGAGGGATGGCTTCTCCCATTCAAGGCTGCCTGTGTTCTAGCAGCTCAGGGTTGGCCATCCTGTATTGCACACGCTTAATACTATATGGAAGTAAGCATTAGACAAATGTCAGGGGTGTGGCAAACCAAAAAGAGTGTTAGCTGAGAGCTGGCTGGAGGCAAAGGTCCCAATCCTTATAGATAGATGGTAGTAATAGTAATAGAATATCCCCAAACATCAGCCCTACCTTCCTCATCCCATACTCGATGTTCCTGGCTCACACTCTCCTCCTGGTATACATCTTCTACTGAAAATTAGAAAGGAACAAAAGGGAATTAAATTTTATGAGACACCTTAACATTATGGAGAGGCTGTGCATGACAGTGATTACAAATATGGGGACTGGAGTCAGCTATACCAAAGTTCAAATTCCAGCTTCATGATGTACTAGCTGCAGGGTTTGACAAGTAACAATGTCAGTGCTCTCATCTGCAAAATGAGGATAATAACACCAACTTCAAAGTTGTCTGGGCATTAAATAAAATACCGTATCTAAATGTCTGAAACGATTTAAGAAGGAAGCTGATAAGTGGTAGCTAATATTATCTATTTGGTTCTCATTTCCTGGTGCCAAGTGCCTTATATGCTTATTTCATCAACCTACACAATGGGCACAATCCCTCCCATTTTCTAGACGAAGAAACTGAGGCCAAAGAATTCGTGTGGTGAAACAGATATCATACTAGCTCCCTTGCAAATGGAGAAATGGAAGCATGGAGTATTTATATAACTCATGGCTGTCTCAAAGTGAAGCAATTATCAAGCTGGGATCCAAAGCCACATCTGTCTGACCTGACATGTAATGGCCATGGCAATATTTGCTATCTGCATTAACTTTTAAGAATCAACTTCACAGCCTGGGATACCCTCATGACTGTCTCTCAGTAAAGCAAAATTATTAAGGGAGGAGCTAGTGTCTATATCTTGCATTTTCCCATCAGGCTCCATCCCACCAAAACCATGGGCTGTCCTTCTTAATCGGATTTCTAATATAACCAAACAATCTATGATTGTTTTTCTGCAGTTTTTCTAATCAATCACAAGTATTTTCTGAGGTTGTATTATTTTTTGCTTACCTTTTTCATTTTGTTAAAATATGAAACTTTGGCACTTTACAAATAATTTGTATTTTTCTGACATTCTTTGTTTTTTTTTTTGATGGTTCCTGAACAAATTTCTGAACATCTCTCTTCTGACCCTATTAAAAACTTAGTATAGAACGTGTACTATCGGTAATTTGGAAATTTTCATAAACAGTTGAATGTATTTTCAAACTTACATCATGTCCATTTCATTTAAAAATTTTCTATAGTTGACACACTGTTACATTAGTTTCAGCTGTGCAACATGATGATTCACCTTCTCTATACCTTATGCCCTGCCCACCACAAGGGTAGCTACTGTCTGTCACCATACAACCCTATTACAGTACCATTAACTATATTCCCTATGCTATGTGGTTGTGGCCATTGAGTTGTATAACATTCCTGGCTCTACAATAAAATCTTGTAGATTATCACTATAACTGGATTCAATTATTGTGGCACAAGATGGGTTACAAAGCTCTTCAAAGCAACCAAACAGTATTTCTTATCTACTTGCTTCTTTCTTTAATAATATTTTATGAAGGGTCACAGCACTCAATTCAAAAAATTTTTATCTTTTAGGAAATGTTATACTAGTTTCAGGTATAAAGCATAGTTATTTGGTAATTACATGAACCATGAAAGCTCACCACAAGAAGTGTAGTTACTATCTGCAGCTATACAATGTTTCTACATTATTTTTTTTAAAGATTTTATTTATTTGATAGAGAGAGACACAGTGAGAGAGGGAACACAAGCAGGGGGACTGGGAGAGGGAGAAGCAGGCTTCCCTCAGAGCAGGGAGCCCGATGTGGGGCTCGATCCCAACACCCTGGGACCATGACCTGAGCCGAAGGCAGACGCTTAACGACTGAGCCACCCAGGTATTGACTATCTTCCTTATGCTGTACTTCTTACGGTTTATCGATTTTACAACCGAAAGTTTGTATAAAGTTATATTATTTTAAATAACACTGTGTCAGGTGTTCTGGAACTCCTGTATTTAAATTTATAATCTGTTGATGAGCCAACAGAAAGGTAGCAAAACAATTAGCAACTAATAAAAGTGAACAATAATAAGTTGCAATAATTGCAACAGTTGAGCTATGACCAAAATTCTTGAGTTTCCTAGCATCAAAGTGAACATGAGTGTCAGAAAAGGGGAAGCAAAGCTTTTCCTTGTCCTAAACTTCAAGAGAAATTTCACAAGTGGCTCTTTACAGAAGACCAAATAAAAGTGCCCTCAACAACATTCCCACAACAGACGCACTCTCAGGACCCAGCTGGCTTTTTCTTTCCACTCTGGACAGAGCTGAGGGTATAATATTGAAGAAAGTTTTGCTTAGGATCCAAAAATGTGGTGGATGTATAGCAGAAATTTGCGTGGCAGTGGGAGTATGCTCAAAGCAGCATACTTTTCAAACAGGATTCCTAAGCACACTTTTTGTCGGCTGAGATTTGATAAAAACTAGATAGGACATTTCAAACTACTGATGAACACCTATCCACTAAGTTGATATTCTGCGTTTGTGGCTGAGTGAAGAGCCATATGCTCTCAATGCCACCTCAGCATATGGTTTGGCTGAGCCCATGCTGTCAAGAAGAGGGTGCCTTACCAGGACTCTGGACTCGGGGAAGGCCACTGCACCTGCTTGAGGTGGTGGGCTGAGGTCCGCTGCTGCAATGGCTGTTCTCACCCCGTTCCTGAACTCCGCACAGCAAGCACTGCGCATGTTCACAGACACGTGTCACTGAAACCTGTGGCTCTTAGATGCATGGATAAACGGGAGTCCCGCGCAGAGCTGCTACCCAGCCAGTCAAACCTGAGGCCAAACATGTCAGCTCACCCTTGCAGCTAACATAGGACCCCAGTACGTATCCGAGGGAGAGCGCCGGGTTCTTATAGAACATATTCCCCTAAACCATTCCACAGCCTGGGAAAGCTACTTCCTCCTGCCTCTGCGGGACAAGCCTCTAACCCGCACGCCAGGCAGGGGAGGCCGGGGCACGGGCCACACAGCAAGGGCCGCAGGAACACCTGGGCGGGGCGAGGCGGCGAGGGGCGGGGTCTGGGGCGGGGCTCGGTGCCAGAGGGAGGCTCCAGGGGCGGGGCGTGGGCGTGCCCGGCGGCGTGCGCGCGGTAGCGTGCGCGCGGCGGGGGTGGGGCAGCCGCCGCAGGCCCACGCCGTAAACAGACAAGATGGCGGCGGCGGCGGTGCCTGGGACCTTGGGCACCTTGCAGGCCGGCCGCGCTCGCCTGGTGGCCTCTTGTTGTGTGCGGCTTGGCCCCGGGTGGAGGCTGCCGGGTTACTTAATGGGCCCGCGGGTCGCCCCGGCGATATGGGCCCGGGGCTGGGCTCCCGCGGTCGGGGGCTCGGCCCCGCGGAGGGGCTACAGCTCTGAAGTGAAGACGGAGGACGAGCTGCGGGTGCGGTACCTGGAGGAGGAGAACCGAGGTGAGGGGCGCGGCGCTGGCAGCCGCGGGTCCTGGGAAGGGGTCGCAAGGTCAAGTGTCTGGGCTGACGTCAGTGTCCGCTGAGCGGCCCGGGTCGAGACCCCTCCCCTCCCCCACCCCGGCCTTGCACCCTCGTAGTCCTTTCGGTGCCTAAAGGTGTACTCTGGAGCAGTTTACCTGTAAAAGTGGTCCCACTCAGCGCCGAAGACAGAAACGCAGCTCACGTCCTCATCTCTAGACGAGCCAAGGTCAATAAACCGGGTGTGTGATATTTGCTTCCAGGTTTTGTGCTTGTTCTGAATTGCTTTCTGTCAACTCAAATATCGGGGTTTGGGGGGGTGGGTGGGTGGAGTTTCAGAAGCTGCAGTGAGAATGCATTTCATTCTGAAGAATCTCACACTTCAAGCTGTGCAGCCGCAACAATTTCTCCTCTTGTTTATTTTAGAAAGTTAAAGTTAGTTTGGGGGACTGAATTTCAGTTCACTGAAACCATTTTTTGAGCTTGTTTTTGTCTTCCGGGTACCGCGCTAAGCTGTGGGGACCCTTGTGGGTGGTACGGATCTTGCCCTTGAGCTACCTGCGGTGGAGGAGACAGATGCATTGGCAATACAATACCTCGGGGGAAAGGGGGCGGCCTGTGGAGGCGGGACCTGCCTACCGGAGGTGTTAGTGTTGGAGCCCAGTTCCTTTCACTTGCCCACTTGGGTCGGGAAAGGTAGAATAGCAGTTTCCCAGAGGACCGGTCATTTAATTTGGACGCGTAGTTACTGAGCACCTGTCATCCGTTAAGCAGAAGGGCGAAAGAAGTTAAGTCACGATTGCTGTCTTTAAGCATCTTCTAACAGTGAGAAAGATACTGCTGGCAAAAAGGCTCTGCTAACTTTGAAGGCTTGGTGAGAGGGAAGGGCTGTAATACCCCCAGGAGACCTTACCATCAGGTATATTTGGGGAGATTGGAGGACTTGAGAGGGGTATTCTGAGGGTCGAGTTAGGGTTTGGCCAGATGAAATCGGTTCCCAGGCATTCCTTACCAGGCAATCGAATTTGGGAATAGTGGGGGTTCTTAGGCGAATTGCCTCTGTGCCTCAACTTCAGTGTGTGTATAATAAGAAAAATAATACCAACATTGCAGGGCTTCTGTGAAGATTAGATGAGAATGTCAATACAAATTGCCCACTAAGTATCTAGCTCATAATGGATGCTCCTAGTGGAGTATGAGGAGTTATTTCATTTGTTATTTAAATGTTTATTACCCCAGACAGAGCAGAGCATGGTCGAAGGTGTGGAATCTGAAGGTGTTGTGTTTTTGGGAATTACTGTAGGGCATGTGTGCTGTACTGTGACATGACGGGCAGAGTATTGAGAAATTCAGCTGGAAAGTAGATTTGGGACTGGAGTGATTAGAGCCCTTTTGGGTAAGCTTAGTCTTACTGGGATTTCAGTTATATTAGGTGTCCCTGTGGTACGTTAGATACAGAGATTGCAGGTGCAGTGAGTAATATGCACCATATTCTGTATTTTTTGTCTTTATGACTTAAATGAATGCAAATTGCAAGTAAAATTTCACAAAACATCTGGATAGTCCTTAAGTTAGCATCCAAATGGATCAAAGAGAAGAAATTAAAGCATACAGAACACTTCAATAAATTCAGATGTGTACAGTTACCTTGAAATGTAAAAATCCACTATTAGGAAGTCATGGTTTCTTAAGAAAGTTGATTCAGCTTCCTTTGAATGTCAGCTAGGCTTGGCTAACTTATAAATGCTTTGGTTTACTAGGGAACCAGCAACAAGCAGTGCAAAGAAAAACATGAGGTTAAGGAATCCGCAGGTAAAGGAGTCTCCCTGATGCTTTTGCTTCCATTGAGGCCAGTCCAGAATTTGAGGGTCTCAGCAGCCCGCTAGGAATAAGAGAATGAGAGGCGGGGTCAGAGGAGCCCCAAAGTGCTGGGGGTGAGTAAGTACAGAATACATTAGCACTCATCTGTTGCCTGGACTCCATATTTGGAATTTGTTGAGGAGGCGCAGTTACAGGACCAGGTTTCTGTAGCAGTTATTTCTTGCTTTGTTGTCTGATCTGCATGGGTTTTTAGAGCAGCAATCCTTGCCGTGGTTCACCAGGGTCTCTCCTTCATAGGTTGGCTGCTCACCAGTCATTCTCCTTCCCAGTTTATTGTTCACACTTGTCCTGGGGTTACCTTTTTTCAAGGCCAGGAATGACTGCCCTGTTCAGTTACAAACTTTTAGTGGCTCCCAGTTCCCTGCAGGCACAGTCTCCAATCTCCCCTCCGCTGTGTCTGAGCTTTGCCTTTGCTACTCTTTTGTTTGTGCTTTTGTATGCACCTCCCAGAATGGAATGACTTCTCTCTTCCCCTTACCAAACTTCTCCCCGTCTGGCAAGCTTCTGCTCATAATTGTGACCCACTTCAAAGATGACCTTTGTGAACCATGTTGGAGAAACTGCTGGCAGAAATAGAGCAAGTGGATCATGCAAGTCGTTCTTGATACCTGCTCCTTGCTTACAGTTTATATCCAGATTATCAGGACTTCCTGAATGTCTCTGAAATCTTTCCACTTTCCTCTGTGTTCTTTACCAACACTGCCCTTGTCCAAGCCAGCACCATCTCCCAAGGGACTGTCACTGGGGTAGCACCATCTCCCAAGGGGACTGTCACTGGGGTCTGCCAGCTGGTCTTCTGACATCTGCTTGCTTTTCGTTTTTAGTGGATTGATTTCTTTCTTTTTTTTTTTTTTTTAAAGATTTTATTTATTTTTTTTTGAGAGAAAGAGAATGAGAGAGAGAGCACGAGAGGGAAGAGGGTCAGAGGGAGAAGCAGACTCCCTGCCGAGCAGGGAGCCCGACGTGGGACTCGATCCCGGGACTCCAGGATCATGACCTGAGCCGAAGGCAGTCGCTCAACCAACTGAGCCACCCAGGCGCCCCGATTGATTTCTTTCATATATTTTTCTCATGTGTTTATTTTTATTTACTTTTCTCATGTTTTTAACATATTTTCATACATTTTATGGCATGGGAATTATATTTATAAAAATATGTATTAAAGTGTGTGTGTATATATATATTTAAGCTTTTATTTATTTATATGAGAGAGGGAGAGAGAGGGAGAGAGTGTGTACTAGAGAGAGCACTAGCAGGGGAGAGGGGGTGGGAGAGGGACAAGCGGACTCCCAGCTGAAGACCCTGGGACCAGGACCTGAGCTGAAGTCAGAGGCTTAACCAACTGAGCCACCCAGGTGCCCCAAGATGTATATATTTCTAAATCTTTATTGATCTGTAATTCACATACCATAAAATTCAAAATGTACAATTGATTTTAGTATATATAGAGAGTTGTGCCACCATTACCACAATCCAACTTTGGAACATTTTTATCAATCGAGAAAGAAACCCTGTTTTCTTTAGTCATGACTCTGCATTTTCACACTCCCCTCCCCACAAAATTGGGCCTGTGTATCTGTCTCAGTAGCTTTGTCTGTGTTGGACATTGCATATGAAGAAATCACAGACATGGTCTTCCGTGGCTTTTTTCACTCAGCATTATGTTTGCAAGGTCCATCCTTGCTGTAGCATGTGTCAGTAATCCATTCCTTTTTATTGTTGGATAACAGTCCCATGTTTGGATAGATCAGGACACGTTTTGTCTATTCATCATTCATACACATTTGGGTTGTTTCCACTTTTTGGATATTGTGAACAATGTTGCTTAGAGCATTCATGGGAATTTTTGTGGACGTTTCTTTTCACTTCCATTTAGTGGAATTGTCGGGTCATATGGTAATTCTATGATTAACATTTTGAGGAGCTACCAAACTTTTCCAGAGTGGCTGCAGCATTTTACATTCCCTCCAAGCGAGGTATGAGAGCTCCAGTTTCTGTACATCCCGACCGATACTTGTTATTGTTTGTGTTTTTGATTCTAGCCATCCTGGTGCCTATGAAGTGGTATCTCCTTGTGGCTTTGTTTTAGAGTTTCCTAATGGTTAATGATGTAGCGTATCTTTTCATGTGTTTATTGGCCATGTGTGTATCTTCTTTAGAGAAATGTCTTCTCAAAGCCTTTGCCCATTTTTTAACTGGGTTTGTCTTTTTACTGTTGAATTGTAAGAGATTTTTAATATATTCTGGATACAAGTCCCTTATCAGATACATGATTTGCGAAACAATTTCCCACAATTTTGTGGGTTATGTTTTCAGGTTTTTAATGGTGTATTTTGAAGAACCTGGGTCTGTATGTGGTTTATTGGAGATACTCTGTTACTGGTTTTTAGTACTTTGTGTATTACATGTTATTTTTTAGTAAGAATAATTAAATTATTCAAGTTTACAGAATTTCTAAAGTAAAAATATTATATATGCACATGGTAAGATTAAACAAAAAAAAGCACTGTGGAAGGGTGCCACCCTTTCATTTTCAGGCCCTGCCATCAAAGGTCAACACTTTAAACATCTCTCGAGTTCTTGCTGTGAATGATAATTTTACTCACTGTTCTTATTTTTTATTCCACTATATGGATATACCATGTTTTGTTTCTACTTTTTGGATAGTATGAATAATGCTGCTTAACACTGTGTACAATTATTTGTCTGAACATATGTGTTCATTTCTCTTGGGTAGATACATAGGGGTAGAATCAGTGGGGTGATTTTATGTTTAGTTTTTGGAAGAACCACCAAACTGGTTTCCACAGCAGCTGCACCATTTTAACATCTTCAGCAGTGCCCAAGAGTTCCTGTTTCCCCCCTGCTCGCCAACGCTTGTTTCCATTTGCTGTTCATTATAGCTGTCCTCCTGGCTGTGAGGTGATGCCTCGTGGTCGTGTTGATTGGCGTTGCCCTGATAACAAATGATGTTGAGCATCATTTCATGTGCTTATTGGCAATTTGTGTATCTCCTTTGGAGAAATACCTGTTTAAACCTTTTGCCCATTTTTCATTCTGGTCGTTTGTTTTTTTGTTGTGGGTAGTAAAAATTCTTTTATAATCTGGATATTAATCCTGTGGCAGATGTATGATTTGCAAATATTTTCTATTCTGTGAGGTTTTTTTTTTTACTTGATAGTTTTGATGAATTGTGGTTTGTTTTTTCTTTTGTTGTTTGTGCTTTTGTTGTCATATTTAAGACACTGTTGCCTAATCCAAGGTCGTGAAGATTTGTACCTATTTCCTTCTGAGAGAGTTATAGTTTTAGGTCTCATAGTGTGTCTAAGATCCATTTTGAGATAATTTTTATACATGGTGTGAGGAGAGGGTCCAATTTCATTCTCTGATGGTTAATCTCTAGTTGTCCCATCACTATTT